TCATATTGTCACCAACACATGTAGTGACCAGGTGCATATTTTCCCACACTGCTTGGGTAACGAAATTTCCCGAAAACATTCAATGGAGTTTCACACTAACGAAAAAAATATTTCACGACTACTGCATAACACCGCGAATATCGCATTTTTCACCGAGTTTTACGCCACTTCACGTAAAACGGGTTGTGAAACTCCAATGATATAATTATTTTTTGAGAAAAAAATTAATACTGATACCGTTTACAAGAACGACAAAAGCGACAGAGAAAAAATAAATTAAAAATATATGTTCGTAAAATTACCAAATATTTCTCAAAAAAAGAATTGTAACAAATTTACTGCGAAAACCGAATTATGAATCATGAAAATTTCCATATTTTCCGATACGAATTTTCCCTCCATGTTTATCATAAAAATAGTGTTAACTCCGATTATCACTAAAAAAAATTTAAATTTTTTACCGAGATTTTTTTCCACCCACTCGAATTTCTCAGGAACACAGTGTTTCCACGCCGTTAAAGGAGTAGAACATAAGAAAACCTGACCACAGGAAAACTACCGCGCGCCACGAAATTATTACACACCTCAACATCGGGCATTTCATCAAGCCATTGTAGGCTCTGAATAGCCCCGCTAATCGGTGGCAAATCGCCTATGAATCTGCGTAATCGAAAGGTCCCCGGTTCGAACCCCACACCTGTCATTTTTACCTCTCACTGGTGATTATCTCTCGAACGTACATCCCCAATGTTGGCTTCAACGCCTCGTACTGAACATAATAAAATTACCATCAATGAAAAATTACCACGAAAGAAATTACCGTTGAAAAAATTACCGTGATAAGGATTACCGTGATAAGAATTACCGTGATGAAAATTACGGTGATGAGAATTATCGTGAAAAAATTACCATGCAGAAATTTCACGAAAAAAAATCACCGTGGAATAGAGTACCGTGGAAAAAATTACCGTGAGACAATTTTTCATGGAAAAAATACCGTGAAAAAATTACCAGAAAAATTACCGCGCGCCACGAAATTATTACCTGTTTTGAGCAATAAAACCCTTCCCGCTCTTCGACAGAAATGAACGGTTCTTCGGGATGTCCTGCGAAAAAAAAAATTTTTCACGCGCCACAAAATTATTTCATCTCACGTTTTTTGAATTCTTCCATGAGGGCAAGTTCGAAATCACAAATAACCCCGTCCATATCTACGAGAATCCGCATTATCTTTCCAGTGCTCCGTCGCACCGCACACGGAAGATTTTGAGCATGCGTGCAGTTAGCAGCAGGAGCACCGCAAGACGTTAATGATGATGACGGAAATAACTCCTTTTTCATCGGACACTTATCAAACAATGAGATAAAAGGGAACTGAAGATTGGCGTGAAAAAAAAAGAAAAACCTTTTGTGAAAAAATTTCCGATTCGAAACCACCAGGAGAAAAATTTCAGCAAAAACAAATATTTTTTTTGAATTTTCCAACGGAATTTCTTCGATTTTTTGGGAAAATTATACCATAAGTTTCCTTCCCCCTCATCTCCAATGAGCAATACGCAACCTTCTGAGGAACGCTCTTGTAATACCATTATCATGAATTTGTTGCCATACATCACGCCTTAGCCTCTCACTTCGGATCAGCCGAGCTAATAGCCTGGTGAAGGAAGGGCTGTTATATAGAAAATATACTCTTTATAATTTTCAATCAGAACTAAATTCGATTTGAAGAAAAAATTTCTCGAACGACATGAAAAAATTTAGCTAGTATATAATATATTTCCAGATTCCGAAGAAATTATCTAAAACATAATCTTTATACGTTGAAGTGAAATTCGTTTTCATACATATGCCACGCTTTAGCTCCCAATTCTGGATCTGCTGAGTTAACACTGACTGGTGAAGGGAACGGCTGACATATGAAATTAAGAGTACGTAGTAGCAATAATTCGGAAAATTCCACAACAAACATTTACACAAACGTCAATGGAGTTTCACGAACCGTGATAGGAATAATACATCTCACAAATCACTGCATAGCGCGAGCAACACGGCGTTTTTCACCGAGTATTATGCTATTTCGCGTAAAACGCGTAAAACTCCAATAATAACAGTTATTCAATGCTAACATATATACCGGGAATTTACCAAAACTAATCTTGCTATGAACTTGCAGTGATACCCCTACACTGGAGCTTCACCCGTGTGGCGTTAAGTGGCGTAAAACTCGGTGAAAAACGCGATATTCGCGATGGTATACAGTAGTCGCGAAATATGGACTTCACGCTAGTGAAAAATATCACTAAGGTGATATGGAACTGCTACTACTACTACTACTACTACTACTACTACTACTACTACTCCCAAAATCGCTTTATGGTCGACTGAATCAACAGCGCGGAAATCTACCCCTATGAAAATGAATCGTTATTACGTCCAAAGCAACTGAAAGCTTTGCAATAATAAAAAACAATGCTTTCTCAGTGAGAGGGCATAATTCTCGAAATGACTTTCCCATGATATTTGGGTTTTCCAAAACCAATTTATATATTAATACTTTGTTATTACATCACTACAAAAAGGAGTAAATCATAAGCTCATCCCACTGAGATTTATATTCATTTTCTATCACCAATGTGTATACATCTTTATGAAATAATCGGCAGCTACAAAAACATATTTTTCATGTTATTTTACTTCATAATTGAGTTATGAGGAATTGAAAAAATCTTAAGGCCACTTCGCTGAGCTTCTCAGTGATTTGAAAAGGAGGAATGGTATGGGGACAGAAATTATTGAAAAAATATTAACTCTGTGATTTCTATTGAGCCCGTGTAGAAG